AGGGCTTCCCCTTTATTACAGCTCTAGCCATTTTGGTGGTATATGGCAGGACCCCTCGGTGACTTCCCTGCAGCTCCCTGCAGAAGGATATCTTCATGCCTTTCTGGTGGCTGCTTGTGCCCCTCACTGTGCCTCCGCAGGATCTGCTGCCTGTCACAGAGCTGTAGAGTTCTTCTTTCCTCTTCCTTTCATGCCCTGCTTTCTGGGGTGAGGATCCAGTTCACCTAGGAATGTGGCTGTAGGCCCCAGGACAAAGGGTGCAAGTCCTTTGTCCTCCACAGGACTGGTACCTTGCTCCTGGGCTGCAGATGGCCTCTGGTTTTCCTAGTTTTCAAGTTGGGTGTGGCCCGACCTATCAAGCCTTTTCTTAGGTTCCTGCTTTGAGTCCCTTCTGCGCTTAAGGCAGGGGAGGTTCTCCTTTGTGCTGTGTGACTTTGCTTGTTACTTTAGGTCTATGATCCTCTGTGAATTATGGTGTGAGGAACCAGTAGTTGAGACTCTGTCCCCTGTGCAGACATGCAGATGTGGTCATGTCTGTTGAAAGATATCCTTTTCTTCTGTGGAATGTAGTTGGTGGTGTGTGCTGGTCTCTCTTGATTGCTGGCTGCATTGATGTGTAGATCCCGAACCAAACACCAACTCTGTAATCCCTGCAGCCTTACAGTCGGTCATCTCACATCACATGTCTGACCCAGAGCCAGTGTGGAACCCGGCCACAAGGGAGCAGGATTTGAGGGGAGTGATCCCCTCCCCCACTCTGCCACTACAGGGGTGGCCAGCTTCCCCTGAACCTGSCCCTCCCCAGAGCCTCTGCGGCCCCCATACAGCCTGTAGGAGGCAGAGGCCTCCATGGTGGACACAGGCCTACCCTAGCATGGATGGCAGCACCTTTAGGCCAGACATGCTGTGTGCTGGGGGCTGGCATAAATCTGCCAGGTGGGCCTAGGGCATAGTGGAGGGCTTGGGGCCTGGAGTCCAGCAAGACTCCCCACTAACAACACTGGCCCTCACCCTGCTTTGCCCTCCAGGATAACTGGAGGCCCGCTGGCCTGCCAGGTGGATGGGACCTGGTTGCAGCCTGGCGTGGTCAGCTGGGGCGAGGCTGGGTCCGTCCTTACCAGCCTGGGGCCTACAGCCACATTCCCATGTGAACTGGATCCTCACCCCAGAATTGGGGGCCTTGGGGCTGGGAATTCTAGGGCTCCCCTGGCCCTCTCTCCTGGCTGGGCTCTTCCTGCCGGTCTTCCTGCTGCTGCTGCTGCTGCTGCTGGCCTCCTGCGTCCTGGTGGCCAAGTGCTGGCTGCACAGAACCTGGCTTGAAGTTCCCACACTATTAACCCCTGATCCCGATTTGCATGATCCTCCCCCCATCCTCCTCCCTGCAGAGCAAAGTTAGAGCAAGGGCCACATCCTAGGCCTGTCTGGGCTCTGTCAGCAGTTCAGTCCCTGCCCAATAATGCCTTCTTCCTGGAGGGAAACGAAGGCTGAGAAGGTGCAGTTATCTGCCAAGGTCTGGGTAGGAGGGTCCACCGACCCCGGTGCTTTCTGTTCAGTCTCATCCACCCCCGAACGCCCTTTAGCAGTCCTGGAAAGTCCCCAGCACCGCCCAGGCCAAAAGACCTGGGTCAGTGGCATAACTTGGTCGTGGCAGGGGAGCCTAAAGGTGCACCTACACAGCTGAGTCCAGCGCGTGCCCAGAGTTGACGGCCGGGCTCTCCCTCTGGTGGAGACAGGAGGAACTGCGTCGCTCCGAACATAGCTTGGCTTTGCGGAAGAAAACCACAAACTGTGAATCTCATGATTGGCGCATATAAAATCCGAAGGGTCTCACAGACGCTGGCGCAGACTGACTTGGCAAGGCTATTTCGTTATGACCCTAACGAAATACAAAACGCTGTACTTTTAAATTTATTTTTTTAATATTTATTTTTTAGTGATAGATAGGCACAATATCTTTATTTTATTATTTTATTTTTATGTGGTGCTAAGGATCAAACCCAGTGCCTCACGCATGCTAGGCGAGTGCCCTAACACTGAGCCCCAGCCCCAGACCATGTACTTTTTAATTTTTTTTTTAAATTTTGGTACCGGGGGTTGAAGCCAGGAGCGCTTAACCATTGAGCCATATCCTCAGCCTTTTTTTTAAATTTAGAGGCAGGGTCTCGCTGAGTTGCTGAGGCTGGCTTTGAACTCATGATTGCCCAGCCTCAGCCTCCCAAGCTGCTAGGATTATAGGTTTGCCACCACACCAGGTTCAAAATGCTGTAGTTCTGAATATTATCCTAACTGGATAATACTAACTGGAAAATGATCTTGGAAGCCCTAGCAAGAGTGAGGCTCTGGATCAATCCACAGTACCACGATCAATCAATCAAAACTTGAAAGTCAATATCATTTCTATCAGAATTTTTTTAAAATAAATTAAATTCTAGGCATAAAGACAGCACATTGTCCTGTTTTTGTTGTTACTTTGTCAATAATTTTTATATTTTGGGGGGGAGAGAGTTGCTGGGGATCAAACCCAGAGCTTTGCACATGCTAGGCAAGTGCTTTATCACTGAGCTACACACCTAACCCCTCATGAACTAGGTATTTTTTGGGGTGGGGGTACCAGGGATTGAACTCAGGGTCACTCAACACTGAGCCCCATCCCCAGCCCTATTTTGTATTTTCTTTAGAGACAGGGTCTCACTGAGTTGCTTAGCACCTTGGTTTTGCTGAGGCTGGCTTTGAACTTGCGATCCTCCTGCCTCAGCCTCCCATGCCACCATCACCAAGTTTTTGACAGAGAAATATGTCTTTCACCTTTACAGATATTTCCACTTCCAGGACTTTCTTGGTGTGAGTCTAGATTGTCACCTCTTGTTTTCTTTCTCCTGCAGAACTTCTTTTGACAATTTGGTGTCAGGAGGTGCTGGCAACGGTTTTTCAGCAAGCCAACAGTTCATTTCCTTCTAGTAGTCCTTTGACGATGGCTTCCAACCGTCAGCTGACTGCCAGTTTCTGAAGACTTTCATTGATTTCCAGCCCTATGTGATGTGCCTCAGCCTGTTTTTCTTTAATTGTATTCTATTTGGTGTTCATTGAGAGTGTTAGATCTGTTTGTTTATAGTTTCATCAAATATGTAAAGTTGTGGCCATTTGCTCCTCAAACATCCCCATATCCATCCCCTTTCTCTCCTCTGGCTTTCTGCCTCACATATTCTGCATCCTGGGTCTCTCCCGACTGCATGTCCCGAGGCAGTGTGGGTTTCTCACCCCTACTTGTTCTGCTGTCCTGTCCTCCTCCCCCCACCTGGCTTTCTACCCATGTTGTCCCTTTGCATCTGCACTACCAGTTAGTTCTGTCAACAATCCCACCTCCAGTAGAACAGCCTCCAGCAGAGGAGAGATGAGGAGGATACATCCCCTCCCAGGAAATGGAGATGGGGCTCGCAAGTTCGAGGTGTGGGGGAGAGTGACTGAGTGCCTCTCTGGGACGGTGTCACTTCCAGTGACCCTAAGACCAGTGGCTGTCCTCCAGCAGAGGTCAATGCTTAGGGCCAGGGCAGCAGTCACTACTCACCCAACCTGGGCTCCCAGCAAATAGACCAGAGGCTCCATCACCTCTAGCCCCTGATTGGCTCAGTGACAGCCAATCACAGGGACCTCACCATCACAGCTATTGACTGGTCTACCTCTCAGGCCTGAGCCAATCGGAGCATCCCTTGGAGGACAAGGGTCCAGAGCCCCTGACTCAGTAGTGCCTGCAGCCCCTGCCCTCTGTGTGTCCAGCCACCCTGTCCTGGAGCCCCCTGTGGGCTCCTGTGGTTCCATCTTGCCAGCCCTTGACAGGGCTCCGGATTTTGTTAGAGAAGGAGTGGAAGCCAGGTCGCTGAGCATGACAGCCCCTGCTGGTTGCATGCTGACCCTGGGGTGTGCAGAGGGTAGGGTGGGGGCAGGGCCTGCACTGCCCTCTGCTGAGGGCCCAGAAGATGCAATGAGGCAGAATAAGGGCTGGGGTCCTGGAATCCTAGGTGAGGAGGTAGCCCACCTGGGACCCCATGAGCAGCAGTGTGTCAGGAGGAGGGGCATAGGGACAGGCAGGACAGTTATCATCCCTGGACTTGGCAGGGGGTGCAGGAGAGGTTTGGGGGAGGACTGCTGGCTGCAGGCCTCTTCTGCTATCCAGCTCTGACCACAAGCCATCCGATGTGCAGATAAAGTGCAGATGGCAGAGATAATCAGGTACCCTCCGGACACCAGAGCTGCACAGATAAGGCCAGAGACCACCCTGCGGGATTCTTCTGTGGAGCCAGTTTGATGGGGATTAGCAGAGCCCGTTCCTGACCCAGACTCATGGTGCTGTTGATGTGACCCTCCCTCAAGTTGAGTCTGATCCCATGGGATCAGAGAACTTGGGTAGGGTGAGAGTGAGAACTTGGGTGGGGTGAGGGGGTGAGTGTGCCATCCTGTGCATGGCTCCTTTGAGGGTGGCCCACAGACATGGACTTATGCCCTGCATTCATCTTGGGGAGGCATGTTGGGTAGGACAGCAATGGTCCCTGAATGCCACTGTTCCTGAGGCCTTCTAGGGAGTCCTCTGTGCCTGGGAAGGAGGGGACAAGAGCCCAGTCCTGACAGCTGGGAGGTGTTGCCATTCTGGTGCCAGAGATCCAGCAGCTGAGAGATGGACCCTCAATTCCCAGTGCCCAGCCTATGGCAGGGGCCACCTAGGAGCCCCCATACACAGGGGACCTGGCAGACCCTGAGCAGACTGGAGACCTCTCATCCCTATACTCCCACTGGGGCAGAGCCTGAGACGCCAGCATCCCACCCTGGGGGTGGTTTTGTGGTTGCCTGTGCATCCTCACGTTAAGGCCTGTGGACATCAGATGGACATCTTGGTGTGGGGGCATGTGTCACATGGTGGCCCTGGGTCTGAGTCATCTACTTCCTCCACATCTGGATTGGAGGTGGAGGGCCCTCTGACCCTAGCCTGGTTTGGAAGGATAAATGGAGGKGAGCTGGCTGTGTAGAGGAGAACAGGGACTGGCCAGGGTGAGTGTCCCCCACTCAGAGCCCCTGACATCTGTGTGCCCCATGCCTGGATCCCTGAGACCCCAGACCCCTAGTCTGGACCAGTGCTCTGATTCACATGGGCCCTGGCTCCATTCTGCTCCACCATCTGCCAACCTRATCGGTCTGGGTTCATGATGCCCATCCTCACTCCTTCTAGATGCTGAATCTGCTGGTGCTGGCACTGCCTCTTCTGTGCAGCATGGTCCATGGGGCCCCTGGTGAGTCCTGCCCTAGGCCTGCCCTTTCCCTGTCCCCTGCCCCCTACTCCCGGCTGCACAGGCTGGGGCAGGTGGACTCTGAGAAGCCCAGCATTGTCCCAGGCAGGGGAGGGCTGATCCAGGGTGGGCTGCACCCTGGTGCTGAGGGTGCTCCCTGCCCCAGCCCCAGGCCCAGCTCTGGAGCGAGTGGGCATCGTGGGAGGACGGGAGGCCCCTGAGAGCAAGTGGCCCTGGCAAGTGAGCCTGAGATTCCACTTCGAATACTGGATGCATATGTGTGGAGGCTCTCTCATCCACCCACAGTGGGTGCTGACTGCTGCTCACTGCGTGGGACCGTGAGTCTCCATGAGCCTTCGGGGTGGGGTGAGGGCCTGGTTCACCCTGTGGCCCCAGATGCTCTGGAGGCTCTGAGGTTGGGGCCACTTCGGTCCATCTGAGCAGGACTCTCCTTTCCCAGAGAAATCATAAGCCCAGAGCTCTACCGGGTACAGCTTCGGGAGCAGCACCTTTACTACCGAGACCAGCTGCTGCCCATCAGCAGGATCATCCCTCACCCCAACTACTATACTGCCCAGGACGGGGCGGACATTGCCCTCCTGGAGCTTGAGGATCCTGTGAACATCTCCAGCCATGTTCACCCCATCTCCCTGCCCCCTGCCTTGGAGACCTTCCCCTCGGGGACACCATGCTGGGTGACAGGCTGGGGCGATGTGCATGATGGCGGTGGGTGGTTGAACAACTGAAGGCTTGGGCAGGGTGGCACGAGACCACACCATGGTCCCAGCCTTGGGGGTTCCCTTTGCGGAACAGGGAAGGGCACTGATCGACCCCCTCCTGAGGCTGCTCCCTCTTCTTTCACCGCAGTGTCCCTCCCACCACCGTTTCCCCTGAAGCAGGTGAAAGTCCCGATTGTGGAAAACCACCTTTGTGACGCACAGTACCACACAGGGCTCTACACAGGGGACAGCGTTCGCATTGTCCGTGATGACATGCTGTGTGCTGGGAACAAAGGGCACGACTCCTGCCAGGTGGGCCCTTGTCCCCCGCACCCCCGACGTGGGCCTTGCCCCAGGCACTGACTCTTGTTCTCCCCAGGGTGACTCTGGAGGGCCCCTGGTCTGCAAGGTGAAGGGTGCCTGGCTGCAGGCGGGCGTGGTCAGTTGGGGTGAGGGCTGTGCTCATGCCAACCGGCCAGGCATCTACACCCGTCTTACCCACTACTTGGACTGGATCCACCGCTACGTCCCCAAGGTCTCCTGAGCCAGGTTGGCAGGGTTGCCACCCTGATCAGGCATCATCAGTCCTCTTCTGCCTCAGCACACTGTTTCCTTCCCAGGTGGCATCACCCCACCTTCCCAATCCCCCTACCCCTGCCCTGTGGAGCCCTCCACCTGCGTCTCTCCCCTCCTGGCTGCTGTGTTTCATTAAAGCGCAGAGAAAACATCATGGTGGTCACTGTTTATTTTTGGCTAAGGGCATCTCTAGGGAAGAAAGGGGTCCAGGTAGCGACTGGGTGCAACGGATGTAGCTATGGGGTCCCTGGCTACATGAGTCATGAGTCGGGCCTCCTTGCCAATGCCTGTGCTAGGCAGGCTTCTCTTCCACACAAACTTGTTTCTTTTTTATTCTTTTTTTTCAGGGGATGGGTAGCAGGGATTGAACTCAGGGGCACASTGACCCACATCCCCAGCCCTATTTTGCATTTATTTTCTTTAGAGACAGGGTCTCACTGAGTTGCTTAGGACCTCACTTTTGCTGAGGCTGGCTTTGAACTTGCAATCCTCCTGCCTCAGACTCAATTACAGGTGTGCACCACAGTGCCCTGCTCACAGGTTTGTTTCTGTGTGGTGTGGGAGGTAGAACAACGTGGGCAGCTGAAGGGAGCAAGGTAGAGGACAGAGAGCACCTGTGGCCAGGTGGAGAGAGCATGGGCAGCTGCAGAGCCCAGCCCCACCCACCTCTCCCCATCCTAACCCCATGGAAGGTGCCTCTGTGTAGCTCCAGTGTTCTCTGGTCTGCTTGGAGCACCTCCAGGGCTTGCCCCTCCCTGAGTGCTGCCCCTGTGACAGCTGAGTGCAGCAGGGGTCATTCCTTCTCCCTGCCATACAGGGCCCTGCGTGGCAGCTGTGTCCAGCTGCTGCAGATGGGATTTGGGGTTTCTGACTCCAGGCCCTCAGGACTGGAGGCTGAGCTGTCCAGACATGCAAGGTGCCCAGCATCTGGCAGGTTTGGTGAGGGCAGTGGCTGGGCTCAGGGTGCCTTCTCCTCCTGTTGGGGCTTCAGACGTGTTCATGGGCATAGCAACCCACCTGTGCTTCCTCATCCTTCCTTCCGCCTTCTGTACATGCAGTGGCARAAACCCTCCTGTGAGGTTTATTGTGTTTTTATGATTATGAAAGAGGGCAGTGGTTTCTTGCAAGGGGCCCTGCTCCACACCTGGGTCCTGGTGGGGCTGTGAGCTCCATTGTCCCCCTCTAGGGTTGGGCTGGACTCCTGAGGGCTTTGCCTTCACCCTGGCCTTGCGCCCTTCCCTGTGGGACTCCTGTTCTGTGCTGCTGTCAGGTTGGGTTGCATTTTATCCAGTCTCCTGGGATTAGACTCCATAAGCTCCAGGTGATTATTCCTGGCTCCTGGCCGGGCTGCAGGGTTCCCCAGATGTCCAACCCTGCCTTCTCTCCAGGCACACAGTATGTCGTGTACAGACCCTGAGCTGGCCCCTTCCTCCCATAAACCGTGCACATATGAGAGCTGGTGGACAGATGGGGCCCAGGTTTGCCTCCTGGAACCCTCTGTTTGGCACTGACCCTTTCCTTTGCTAGGGAGGAGCTCTGGCTTCTGACCCACTGTCCACATTGAGGTTGCAGAATAGACATGTCAGTTGGTCCTTGGCGAGTGCTTTGGTTGCTCCCAGGCCTTGTGTGCATCGTGTATTTAGACATGCTCATGCTTGTAAATAAGATAGTACCCTCCTTTGGGATGATTCTGAGAACTTTTGGGCAAGAAGAAACTTTTGGGGTAGGTGGTGGTACTGGGGATTGAACCTGGGGTGCTCTACTTCTGAGGTACCTCACCAGATCATTGTATTTTTATTTTTATTTTTATTTTGAGTTAGGGTCTCACAAAGTTGCTGAGGCTGGCCTTGAACTTGCATTCCTCTTTCCTCAGCCTCCCAAGGATCTGGGATTGTAGGTGTGCACCACTACCCTTGGCAGAGAAGATATTTTCTTTTTTTTTTTTTCTTTTTTTCTTTTTTCTTTTTTATTTCTCGGCGGATACAACATCTTTGTTGGTATGTGGTGCTGAGGATCGAACCCGGGCCGCACGCATGCCAGGCGAGCGCGCTACCGCTTGAACCACATCCCCAGCCCCGAGAAGATATTTTCTAAAGAAACATTTGCTTCCTTCTCCTTGCAGTCATCAGATACAAGATATTGGTTTAATCTGCAGAATCTCTGGAAATTATCTTTTGGGGGAAATGAATGGCCTGCCAGTTCCTCATCTGGACCCTCTTGCTTCTGTCCGTGCTCTGGTAGCCCCTCAGTCTCTTTAGGTATGAGAATCGTGAGGAAGGAAGTACTAACCCTCTTTAGTGTTCCTTTTGGTTTTAATTTTCAATGACAAACTTGATGTCTGCCTATCATAAAAACAAAAGAGAAACCTGGAGATATTTTCCTCTCTACCTTCACCCCACGGCCCATCTCTCTTGGGGTCACCACAGGTCGGGGGGTGACCTCCTGTGAGTGTTTCAGACATCCTTCAGCAAGGTGGTAGGTTGTGTACAGTGGGGGCAAGGGACCAAGGTTCCCCAGGAAAGGTGACATACGGGGGTGGGAACAGACCCAGAGAAGAGAGGCAGGGTGGCCTTCCTCTTATCTAGCTCTGGATTCCAGCTCAGCCCAGCTCAGCCAAGCCACAGTTGACAGATAAAAGTGGGCGTTGGCCCTATCAGGGCTGCCAATCACTGGGCCAGGCCAAGGGGTTGGTACCCAGCCCCTGTCTTTACTATCCAGGGCTCCTCCCCAGGGACAGTGTTCAGATGGTCAGCTCACTACAGACAGATGCAGCCCAATGACTCGCCCCTCATGGGCAGCTGACCCTCCGAGATGGGGGCATGGCCAAGGCCAGGCTGCCCCCTCCCTGAACTCCTGTGTCAGATGACAGGAAGCAGCACCTGTCACAGGGGTGCTAAGGGGACCAACGGGATGATTTGGGGTATCTTTAACAATAGCAGGCCTGGGATCTGGGGAGGTCAAGGGCTCTGCAGGCAGCAGCCTGAAGGGGAACAGGGTCCCCAAAGATGGAGCTGGGACAGGTGAGGGCCCTGAAGTCCCCTCCTGGGGGTCAGGTCTCAGTGGATCTGGCTCCCTGAAGACCCTACACCCTACTCTCTCTGGGCAATGTGTGGCTGCTGGGTCCTGGGTATGGCAGCCTGGGCTGGGCACACCTGGACCCCACCCTGCTTCCCTGTGATGTGCTGACCAGGCAGGTCCCACTCCTTGTCCCAGCAGCCACCTCCCAGGTGTGGTCCATCTAAGGGAGGCTGGCCCCCACCCCCAGCACACTCTCTTCCTCACCATCCCAGCTCAGACCCTTCCCATGCACCCTGAGCCTCAGCCAGGACCAGGTGCTGGCGTGAGGGGTGCCGGGCCTGGGCCTCGCACAGCCACAGCCTGCTGCACCATCAGATGACTGCCACCCTGCCTCAGTTTCCCCACTTCTAAGAGGAGTCCTGCCCTAGGGATCTTGGTGGGGCCCTCCAACCCCAGCCTGTGCATGGGGCTGGGGAGGGGGTGGGAAAGTCCCAGGCTGGGCCCGGGGCCCCTAATCAGCTCAGTCATCAGGCCCCAGCCAGACAGGAAGCCCTTAATGGTCTGGGCAGTTGGGGGGCTTTGCCCATCTGATCTGTGGTGGAGTCATGGGATCTGAGGACGGATGTGAGGACAGGACATCCTTGAGGGCAGGTTATCACGGAGTCCTGAGCTGTCTTCTCCTCAGGAGGAGAACCCCAAAGGCTGGGCTCCCAGAGGCTCTCTGGGGAGGTGTGAGCTGCAGGATCCAGGGAGGGCTTCCTGGAGAAGGTGGTATGGACCCAATCCACCGCCCGGGTTTGCAGGGATGGCAGCGTCCCATCCTGTCCCTGTGTGGTCTCTCTGTGTCACTAAGCTTATTCCCTGGGGTAGTGTCCACATGGAGATACAGGAGCAGGTGGGGCCTTTGGTGTAGTCCTGTTCTCCTCCTCCTCACTCCCTGCCCAGGGCACAGGTGTGTGGCTATCCCCCACCAGCCTACAGGTCCAGGGCTCAGGGTCGACTATCCTGTCCCTGCAGTGGGTAGACACCCCACAGTCCTTAGACCCGTGGCCTCCTGCTGTGTCTGGTGTGTGTCCCAGCCTAGGTGTGAGGATGGTGGCATTGCTGGGGGATGTCTGCATCTTGGCTGGGGTTGGTGGACCCAGTACTCTCTGGTCACCTGGGGCTGCTGTACTTGCCACCAAACACCACGAGCTAAAGCGTGGTCAGCTGGGGCGAGGCTGCGTTCATCCTTACCAGCCTGGGGCCTACAGCCACATTCCTATGTGAACGGGGTCCTCACCCCAGAATTAGAGGGCTAGAGGCCAGGAAGCCCAGCACTGTCCTGGCCCCACATGCCTGGTCCTGGGGCACGGAGAGCCAGCAGCCCCAGCAGGAATTGTGGTGCTTCAGGAGGCTGAGCCCTGCCTCTCAGGTCCTGGTGTGCTCCTTGGCCATCAGGCCTGGGCCAGCGCACAGGGTCGGGGGTACTAGGCAAGTTCCCCCTTGAGGGGCACTTTGTGAGACACGGCAGGCTGGGGCTGGGCAGTGCTGTGCCTCTCAGCTGCTCTTTATGGCCTGTGGCTGGTTTCAGCCTGCCCTGGGCTTTGGAGGACAACTGGCAACCAGCCATTTGCTCTGACCCCACCTGCCAGGCCAGATGGATCTTGGCTTCAGCTTGGGATGGGGACATCCACTCCCAGCCTCACCCTGGGGCCTGGAGGGCATCTCTTGGGCCTGCCGTGCTGACACTCCCCTCATCACAGGACTGTCCTTCTGTTTGTCCCTAAGGTGTCCATCAGGTTCTGAAGCCAGGTATGTCCTCAACTGGTGTGTGGGGAGTGGAGGGGAGGACTGGCGGGAAAAGCTCAGGGGGGACAGGGTATTTGTCACAGGTGGTTCCTGGAGGCCCAGGGAGGCCACATGCTGGAGTATGCACTTGAGTGTCCTGGCTGAGGGGTTGCTGGGGAGCTGCCCTGTGAAGGTGCCTCTGTCCCCTTGGTGGTTAGTTTGTATCTTTGGGCACATACTTTTGGCCTCACAGCACAGCTGTGGCTCACAGGCACCACCAGCTCTGGATCAGCTACACTGTGGCCTTCCTCCTCAATGACTTTCCTGCTTGGGCAGGGACCATTCCCAC